TGGCGGCCCTGCGTCTGTGCGAGCACCGCCGTCGCCGCGGCTCGTCGCGGCTCCCAGCCGCCGCCTGTCGCCTTCGGAAGCCATCGACTCCTGGCTGTTCACCAAGCCGCCCAACTCCCCGGGTTGGACTCGCGGGTTCTCGGTGAACCCCGACCTTGGTGGTGTCCCCCCTCCTCCACACCTCCCCTGGCCGAGCGGCATGGCGTTAGTCAATGAAAAGTTAATTAAAGCGAGCCGGTTTGCCTGCGTGAGCCCGGCAAGTTGCAACTCGCGCCCGTGAGCAGCCAGCGATTTCAAGTTATGTCATGTGTTGACATATTTCGGAGACGTCTGCTCGCTCTTCGGTCGTTGGGGTTTGTGGGCGCGGGATCCATAAACAGGAAGGAGGCGGGTGCGCTGGGATGGGGGGGGCGGAGGAGGAGAGGTGGGGGGGGGTCCTTGGGATCCGTACAGAACTGACTTGGTTTCCGACCATCTGGTTCCGCTCCTCGGAAGCCAGGGCTGGCATCCTGGCGGGCGCCCAGCGTTTTCCACGGTAATGGGTGCCCCCATTTTGGAGACACTACCCAGACCTCTCCTGTCATCGCCTTTTGGGACGAGTGTCAAACCCCTCCGGGATTGCTGTAGAGCTCAGCTCAGGGTCTCCAGGCCGTCTGCCCTACGGGATGAAGGAGGGGGAGCAGGGGAGTCCACCTGAGTGGCTTTTAGGAGGCCCTTTTAGGCCCCTCCTTTAATTCAGTAAACGTTTATAGGGCCCTAATGAATATTTAGAGATTTGTGTTGAGGGAAGGCAAAACCCAAACCAAACACACCCCCCCACCCCCATTAAACTTTGATGTTTGGATTTAGGGATATTTGGGAATGAGCCACAAAAAGGGAATTTCCAGAGTGGAGGTCTTAACAGCTGGGGGGAGGCTGTTCTGACAGGACTTCTTCGTTACATCTTCTCACTCAGAAGTTATTCCCCGAATCCCCTGAATGGTTAACTTAAACACATCTGGTATTAAATTCTGCTCCCCTAGTGTACCACGAATTGTGGAATGACTGTGTAGGTCTACAGAACATAGAGGCAGGTGTGACCAGAAGTAATAGGTGTTTGTACAGTGCAGACGTCTACGCGGACTGTCTGAGGTTCTAGAAAGGTAAAAGGAAGTTCTTACATTTGGTTTGCCTTGGGAATGTGAATTGAAGAAAGATATTGTTAAGGAGTGGATGGGGGTATATCTTCATTGTCATTTTCAGTTATCCATAAACTGGAAAGACTATAAATAGACTATAAATAGAGACCTTGTCCAGGCAAGAATACTGAAACATGGCATAGAAAATACTCAGAGATATCACACTAGTTGGTGAACTTAAGGCCTCTGCTTGGTTGACATTACTTTGAGAAGACAGTAAGTGCTTTAAAAGCAGGAACCTCTGTTTTCTGATAAAATCTAGCTGTGTGAGATGGACGCTTAAACCTTGTCTCCTCTTTGCTTGCTTATGGCCAGCTTGGGTTGTGGATTTTGTTGGATTTTAATTCCGAGTCTCCCTTGCTCATATTTAGTGATTAGAAAATTCTAACTAGTCAAATTTAAAGGCTCTATGTTAATTGCTCCAATCTGGGACAGAGGGACAAATTTATAGAAACTTAAGACAACCCACTAGTATTCAGTGTTGACAATTCCTACATCTTCAGTTCTAGAACAATGGAAAGTTTCAGTAGTAATATATTCACTAAAGATAGCTTACAGAATGTCTCTTCAAATCAGAATCACACACAAAGATCCTTAAAGGTCTTCACATAAACTTTGCAAGACAGAACCACATAGAAAGTTTATTTTTTTTTCTCCCTGTGAAGTTGTATAGTACAGGCCATTTGGTTTATGCCTTGTAAAAAGTACCTTTTGGCAGTCACCTCCTCAGAATTGCACTCTTGGGCATTGTAGAGGATCTGAAAAGAGTTGGAAAATAAGGTGTAAACACAGAAAAATAAAGGCCCTGAGCTGCTCAGTAGAGGTCCAGGTTGTCACTCAGATGCATAGGAAAAAAATGTCTCAGGCTCTTATTCAAAGCCTATTAGTTTATATATTTCTCAGTCAAAGTAAGTTTTGCTGTGAGATTCTAGTCTTTTAGCGGATGAGAACGTGAAAGTGCAGAGGTAGCACTGCCCCAGAGGGACCAGACAGCTGTGATTAGGCCTGACTGTGTGCACTTGGTATGTGCTGAATATTTGGTCCGCATTGTCCTCACTAGGAGCACCTCACTCACCAGTGGGGAGACCAGGATGAAGAAAAGTTAGATAAAATACTCAAGATTATATATTTTATTGCCTGGGAACCAGTGTTCCCAGTGTTTATGGTCTTGAACATCTCCTGTGAAGCCTGAGGGAATAGGTTGGGAGGTAAAAAATTGCAAAGAGTCTCTGGATGTTCGTTCATCCTTCATTCATCTCCCAAGTATCTACTGTGCTCCATCCACTGTTGTGGATTACAGTACAGCAATGACCCACCGAGAATTCCTGTATTGTCTCTCCTATGAAATTTTCATCCTTAATATCTGAGGGAATATGGTTCCAAGAGGAGGTCAGGGCGGAGGAAAACCAGGAATGCTCAAGGTAAATAGAGTTCAGTGGTGGATTGTGGATGTTTGATTTATCTTTCCCATAAAGCTGCCTGACTGGTGCTAAACGCATGCTGCCTTTCAACAGATCTCACATTTTCACTTCATCACTTCACTTAAGCACATTTGCCTCTACTTTGATTTTATTAGAGCGTCATTTGTTCTTTAGGAGAAATCTTAAGGGCAGAGAAGCAGCAAGCAGATCATACAGTGATTTAAACAAAACAGGGATCTATGGACTGAGAGCATTTTTTGGAAATTTAAATTTTTTTGAAATTTCTTTTGAATTTAAAAACTTTATGATTTTTTTGGACCATGCTTGGTCAAACCCATGTGTAACAAATCTGTGAATAAGGTGGGCTTGCTTCTACGGTTGGAAGGAGGGATGGAGAGATAAGTGAGATGATTTTGTAGGATAAGTAGGGGGAGTTTTAAAATGATGCAGTAGTCCAATTTACATAGACTTTAGCTGGATTGTAGCAAGAACATAAATGACTAGTAAATATAAACTGAAGCATAAAATTGGGTCAGATAAGAAGAGGTACACAGATAAGCACATCAGTAAAGCAACTTAAAAAAAAAAGTAGTGTCATTTCAAATGGAGAAGTTCAAAAGGGGTTTGTGTAATTGAAATAAAGAAGCCTAGGGCTGGCAATGTGGCGTAGTGGTAGAGTACTTGCTGAGCATACATGAAGCCCTGGGTTTGATTCCTCAGTAACACATAAACAGAAAAGCCCAGAAGTGGCTCTGTGGCTCAAGGGATAGCATGCTAGCCTTGAGCAAAAGAAGCTCAGGGACAGTGCCCAGGCCCTGAGTTCAAGCCCCAGGGCTGGCATAAACAAACAAACAAACAAAAACCTGAATCAGGAGGGAGAAAAGTAATGTAGGCTGACTGCCTGAAGTTCTAAGAAGGTAAAGGAAGTTCTTGAACTTGCTTGACCTTGGGGAATGTGAATTGAAGAACAGTATTGTTAAATAGTGGACAGGGTATATCTTCATTGTTGTTTTGAGTTGTCTGTTTGCTGGAAAGAGTATATAGGAAATGCAGAGCTTGTCCAGGCAAGAATGGTATAAAAAATACTCATTGAAAATATGTGTGTATGTGTATATATGTTTGCTACATACTAGGAAAGTTCTCTACTGAGTTTGGGAGTGGGGAGTTCCATAGTAAATGATCCTCAAGAAACAGTTCCAGGAAGCTACTGGAGCTGAGGCAGATAACGGTAAGTTTCCACTATAGTACTGATAGGCATTGTGTGCAGAATTTGGAGGAAAGGTCATTTCTGTGAAGATGGTTAGGGAAGACTTCCACAGCAGAGGCAGGATTCAGATCAGGTTTTGCAGGATAGGCAGGATTTGGATTAGAGTGCCCATGGTCATTTTGTGGTGGCTGGAAAGACAGTTGCAAGATGTGGATACTCATAAAACATCATGTTGGAAATGAACTTTACAGCTCGGGGGTGGGGGAGGCGTTGGAGGAGGGAAAGTGGGAGAAAAGCAAGGGGTAACAATATTCGACAAGAAATGTACTCACTACCTTATGTATGTAACTGTAATGTCTTATACATCACCTTGCCAATAAAATTAATAATAAAAAGAAAAGCTAACTAGAAAATACATGCAAAATTATGCAAGCTAATATTTTTTTACCATATAGTCAAATGTTAGGTTTACTTGATTCTCATAATAAGAACATTAACAAAAAGATGTGGGGTGAAACACTGTCACTAAGATTCTAAGACTCTAGGCATAAAAGCCTGTCCTCAGGTGTGTCCTCCCACTCCACAGCTTAGGACTTTTAGGATGTTTTGTTAGAGGATTCTGGAAGTGGTTGCAGCTTGTAGGACTAGCATTCTAATCTGCCTGAGCTGTTGATCTGCAGTACCTATCTAGACTC